CATGTGACAATCCTCCACCAACAGGAGTGCAACACACCTTCCTGATGTAGGTGACTCCCTTTATTGAATTCAACCAAATTATCACTCTGAGATTAGGCAGAAAAGAAAAGCACCAGTTTTCAGTGGGGCTGTATGAGATGAGGTAAGTACCTATCAGAAATATATTTTCAGTATAAAAAATAATAACTTATGATACAGTACATTACCTCCTCTCACATGTACAGCTAAAATCCAACACTGAATAGGTGGAGGGAACAGTGCGAGCGAAAGAAATAAGAAAACCTATCAAGTATGATCCCTGTTGGGAGAGGAACACACATGGGAGACCACACCTCTTCTGTACCAGGTATACTGTGTGCCCAGTGCGGAAACAGGTGTCACATACAAGGGCAGAAAGTGGGAGAAGAACAACCAAGATTATGTGGGTTCGAATCCAAACCACAACATACAGAAATCTCAATCCTGATGAAGAAAGACTGTAGAAGAACCATCAATAGACAGGAATGTGGGGAAAGCTAAACTGGATGTGCTTCAAGATGTAGAGTGGCTAGGGTACAATGGACCGTATGCAGCCAGTCAACTCAAGTCGAAAACAAAGTGGCATCTCGATTACTACTTATGATCCATGGTTGAAAGAGGGTTCACATCTTCTTCACCTCCAAATTGAGTGGAACGGAATTATATACACATCAAACTGATCTACTAAAAGGGGCATGTGTGTAAATCCACAACCACCCACAGATCGGGGAACCCGACATCTGAATGATGGTATGAAGGGATGTGCCAATGAGCAATTCACATCAAACCAAACTCAATCTGACAGGATTCCCTCAGTGCATCAGCAGCCTCAGGCAGGGGAAAACTCTGAGATGGAGTGCTAGAGCGAGAACCTATGCCCCAAATATCATCCTCTGTACAGGACCACACAGAAATTGGAGAATATGTTAGCACAACATCAATCTCTGGGTCCCACTGCAGTGGTGGAGAATATGAGGCAAAACTACAAACTGGAGTGTGGAAGGAGGAATCACAATCAACACGTGTGACAACTTATGTTGATTGGTCCAGCTTTAATCAAAAACCACTCACTAGGAACTGACATCCGGGTGATAGTAGGATGAGGGGTCCCAATTGAAGGGGTGAACTGCAATATGACAGATCTACTCCAAAGCAGTATCAACCTCCAGGTCCCACAGCAATGAAGAGGATCGCTTCTGTAAAATATAAAACTGCACAGAAGCTGGGCACAACATCAAACTCTAGGATGCACTGCACAGACATGTAGCACATGATTGGAGGATCACAAGCCATCTATACCAGCAGAACACCACCACCTTATTCTCTAATGAATGGAAGTAATCACATTTATGAGGATACCTCTATGGTGAATCACCCCAGTCACTCAAATCTGAAAAGTGGCAAGGACTCCCATGCTCTACTAGAAGAACAAGGGAGGATAAAACAAAGAGGAATGCCAACACCGGAGACAGTGCAATGGGTGACCACAAAAACCCTATACTGAAAAGCAGACTGTCCTTGGTTTATTCAATCAAAGGGATGGGCAGCTATCCCCTTCTGCTTTACTCATGTACATATTATCCATTGACAGTGTGAACCTGGAGACGGTTGAGAGTTTTC